CCTACAAAACAAACGTTATTATTCCTATTGGTATGGATAAGGAGCCAAGGTATAGTAAAGTTTATAACATTAGAGAATTCTTTCATTCATTGCCCAAATATTGTTGAGCACCTACTATGTGCCACTGTTCTAGGGGCTCGGAATACGTTTGAGCAAAACAGGCAAAGATGGCTGCCCTCGGAGAGCTTCTGTTCCAGCTAGGAGAGACAGACAGTACATCGACATAATGAACAAGCAAATGCTATAGTGAATTAGAAGGTAAATATTATGGAGTAAAGAAAAAGTAGAGCAAACTAAGGGGATTGGAGGGAGGTGAGGAAACAGATTGCAATATTTTAAAAGGCAGTCAGAGGAGAGGTTGAGATTTGAGAATTTCTTGTTGAGATTTGGCAGAAGCTTGGGGGAGCTCGCCAAGGGTGATGAGGTCCCCGGCAGAGGGAACGGCTAATGCGAAGACCCTGTGAAGTGTGACTAGTGTGTTTGGGGCAGCAAAGCCAGAAAGGGGCGGACCAGAGATGGGGTCTGAGAAAGGGAGAAGCCACATCACACCCAGCCTAGTGGGGACAAATCCTGATAGAAACTGTCCTTTCAGAACTTTGAACAGAGGAGGAGTGACACGGCTGCAGGGTTGAGCTGAAAGATCCAAAATTCACAACTCAGCTTGGATGGGCATGTGTGGGCTTCCATGGAGGAGAGGCTACTCAGTGACAAAACAGCCACCGGACCCTCCAGCTAGATCCAGCTAGATCTAGACCAGAACAGACTGACTGCCTCCCATGAATCCCCTCACAGAGTGCCCCGTCCTCCCTCCCCACCATGCGCCAGGAGTGCTGGTTTCTGCGACAGGCCAGTGTCCCGCCCCTGGCGAGCTTGCAAGCATTTTTTTCCCCTTATCTGGGCGGGTCAGGCCCCAGTTGCCCCTATCTATTCCACCCTGCCCTACATAACTCTTTAGCACCTTCCATGTGGCACGAAAGATATCCACGTTTCGCCCCAGACAATCCCGATATGTAAGTCCCCTTAACAAACTCTTTGGTCTCCCAGCCACGGATTTGTGTAACAGCTTGGGGACAGCCTTAGGTCCCATCTCCCTCCATTTTAGGACCAGGGCTGGATTACGTCCTAAATTCAGGCCCAAGGTCTTTCCAGGTGTGCCACTGAGACTCAGATCTGTTATGATCTCACATGATGGCACCGAGGGCTCTGAGCGGGGCACCGCCGCTTCCAGCTGAGGGCAGCAATAAAGAAAAAAAATAATCCATAATTTACAAGAGGATTTTCTTAAAATAGAATTGCTTTAAGTAACCCTTTTTCTTAACATGTAGAGTACTTGCTTTGTTCTTTCTCACTAAAAATAACGTACTTGACTGATAATACCTAATCGATAGCAACTACCAGGAATTCATGGCAGTCCGACAAACAAGTTTGTTAACTTGACACAGCAGGGGAGACCATGAAGCAGAGGAATGGGGGGCATCTCGGAAAGGAGAGTAGGAGGGCTTAAAGGGTTGAAGCTCATACTGGGTGATTCTGGGGAGGGACAAAAAGAGACCAGCTCTAGTTTGGGTGCTGTCATGCAGTGGAGCAGTTTGGGAACTGGGTGTCTCAGCAATCTTTGGAAGGTAGGAGGGAGAAATGGAGTGGGTGAGAGAAGTCAGTAAAAAAGCTGTAATTACTCAACCGAAGGGGATCGTTAATCATTCCGCAGCCGTGGTGTGGCCTTGGGAGAATCATTGCTGTCTGTTGGCTTTTCCGCTGTCCTTGTATGTGTCTCTTAGGAACATGGTGGTCTGATTGGCAGTGGAGCAAATTTTCACTTTCTCAAGGTAGAGAGACCGTAGAAAAGCAAATTTAAGGGCTTAGGAAAAAACTGCCTTTGGAAGCTCAGATTTAATATGCAGCGTCTGGGTGGGCAGTAGGCATTGATGGGGATACAGGATTGAAAACATCTTACTTTTCATAGTTTAAGAAATAAATCTTAGAAGCTGAGGTATTGCGACACCTCTTGTTGTTCGTTCTCTATTAAGTATTAACTGCAGCGTGAAGCAATGACAGGGTTTTACATGGACTCTCAATTTCCTCAACCACCTCTGGGGTAGGTATTGTTATTTTTAAATGGTTATTTTTTAAACTTATTTTTAGAGATGAAGGAATCAGGAGCACTAAAAGGTAGGGTAACATGCTTAAAGACAGTAGCTAGGAGTGGGAAAAGTCAGGAGATAAGAGAAGTAAGTGACTGGAACCTTCGCTGTGCCACCATGCTAGTCTCTTGGGCTCAGCTTAGCAGTCACACTTCTGGAGGAATTAACAGAACATTTCCTAAGTGTTCGCTATGCTCCCGGCACTAACTACTAAGCTCAGTGATTGCCACGCTTATCATATAGTCCTCACAGCATGCCTACGAGGTAGAGTCTACTGTCATCCCCTTTTGAGAGATGGGGAAACTGAGGCTAAAAGAATGGGTATCCAGCCCAAGTTCATATAGCTGTAATTGGTAGGTAGAGCCAGTAAATGGGAAAGTTTGGATTCAAAGCCAGGTCCCAAATTCCCGCTCCCCGCTGCGCCTCTCCACTGCACCACCCTCTGCTACGAAGTACTCGTCCGGGTCAGCGCTCTTGAATTCGGACTTTGGTTCCCTGGATGTGCCGCCTGGGGGCAGCAGGGGGTGGGGCCCACCTGGCGGAGGCCGCCCTCGCCCCGCCCCTCCCAGGCGGGGCGGTCCCGTCCACCAATCAGAGGGCGCTGGGGGCGGGCCGCGGGCGCTCCTGGTCTGGCCCGCAGTTCGAGCGGCGAGAGCGCTCGGAGACGCTTCGCGGGGCCGAGGGGAGCAAGCGGGCGCTTCGGTCTCCTTCCCCTCCCCTCCCCTGGCCTCGCCGCCTTCTCCTTCTCGCAGCCGGACCGGAACTATGTGATCCGGAAGTTCCGGTGCCATTGCTGTGTGGGGTAAACAGTAATGGCGGAGGCTGCAGCTCCCGGAACAACAGCCACACCATCAGGAGCAGGAGCGGCAGCGGCGGCGGTGGCAGCGGCCTCCCCCACCCCTATCCCCACAGTCACCTCCCCGTCCCCGGGGGCGGGGGGAGGGGGAGGCGGCA